GTTTCCAATATAACCAGGGAACTCCTCAAAGGAATATTTGTAACATGAAGCTATGCAAGCTACCTTGAAGTCCACAGATAGCTCTCTGCCATAAGCAGAAGCAGGATAAAGATATGCAATCTCTTAAAAATATTAATGCTAAGAAACATGTTAATTAACAATATGAAGACTCAGGAGACTGAGCCTTTCCCATTGCCTCAGAGCTAGAACTGGCCTGTTATGCAGCAAGAACTGTCATTTGGATTACAAATGGCAATTAACTGACAGAAGCAGGCTTCAGGCACGCTTTTTCATCTTCATCATAGTCTTATACTAATTTAACTTCGTGTCTACATTTTCTATTCACTTTACAACATGATGCTGTAGATAGCTGCACAGTTCCACACAGTCTGAACTGTCATTTGCCTTATACGAGATTATTCTCTTTTCCTCTTGCAACTAGATGCTCAAAATGTAGCACTCTGAGCCTGAACAAAATGAACAACTTGTGTTTAATATGTCTATAGCAAAAGACATCTCCTGTGGAGATAATTATCTGACAGCCTATTTAATATAACAAAGGCAGCAGGACTGTGCTCGAGGAGATCGTTACCTTGTTTCGCTATATTTTAGGGTAGCACCTTATTCAAATCAACACCAACATGTCCCTTCATGATTGTTTTGAACAAATGTCATTATCCAAAATTATTCTTTTCCACTGTCAAAATGCTAAGTACATTGAAAAGAATCCAACAGTCAAGTGCCTCTGTCCATGGTAGCTTTCTAAAAAACCCTTACAGTCAGGAGATGCTGATACAGTAATCTAAAAATCAGAAAAGAATTAAAAACAGTGAATGAATTATATTTCAGAATTATTCAAGACAAACATAAAACACCACTTATTTTCTTAGGAGGTTAATGGGAGTTTCTCCAGAGACTTTGGATAGCCATTGGCTCGTGTTCCTACCTGCAAATGGGGAAGCAGGACAGATTTCTCTTCAGGCCCAGAAGGGCTGAAACCTTTTGGCATGAGCTCCAGTGCCTTGTCACTTCCATTCATGGGCAACAAGGTCAGTATTTTAGAGGGTAATTTGTTTGTTTAAAAAGAAATAAAGCCCATCATAAACTGTCAGGGAACATTATAAAAACAAGGAACATTTCTGAACTAGAAAAATTGCCTGTCTGGATCATGTTCCTGGTAATCACTGCTCCTTTTCCCCTCCCAGGAATAAATTTGAACCTGCAACCTTTACTAATATGAAAGTAACATTTGCAAATGTGAACTGAACTCAAGGCAGCCTAGCTCTTATGGGTCAGGCTCTAAGCTCCTCATTCATATTGCAAAACAGTTGCACAAGTCTTTCAGATGACAAAAATGAGCCAGTTTACATAACTGCTCATCAGTGTGAATAATGACAGTAATGAGACCATAAATTGGAACAGTGAGACTTGCTAGCATCGGCTAATTTTGTGTTTTCAGTTGAAAGTACAGCAAAATAAAAATATTTGGCATCGTGCAAGCTGAACTTGATGTGGCTGAACTATTTTCAGCCAGAGCCAGTAGATGCAATTTGATGATACTTAGTGTATCATAGAAAATATTTACTTTCTGGGTTTCCTTCTTGTATTTTGGAAGGCTACACAATCTGATACATACACCACCAGTCAATCTTTGGCACTTCTATCTGTGCAGATGTCCTTTATTCTACCTGTTTCTCTTCATCTGCATTTCCATTGTTCAGAAACAGTGTTTATCCCAATGACTCAAACAGTAAATCCACGCAGTTGATTAGAATCATAAACACATACAAAGATTTTGTTTCTGTCTTTGCATTTTGTGTTATCCAATAGTGGTGTTACCCTACAAATAAACCTGATATTTCGTTCTTAAAACTGCCAGCTAACATCTTAACCAACATATGGAAACCATAAGTATTCTGCAAAGAGTGCAGGAGAGAGAAAGACAGAGAAAGAGAAAAAACAGTAAAATTCATTAATCTCCAGTAATTTTTTAATGTAATCAATGGGTTTGCAGATGATTCATTAAAAAAAAAAAATGATATGTTTAATCACTGAATGATATCTATTTGTAATGATGAGGTGGTTTTATTTTCATCTAAAGGCCAGAGAGATAGCTATGACACATCAAACAAGGTGTGTAGCTATCTAGTTTCTTTCAAATTTCCTGGGGTTTGGAAATAGAAACATTTTTTAGAGAGAATGAAGCTACCCATCGGTGAGAAGACTTACTATTTACCCATTCATGTGCTACTGACTAAAGTTAAAATACTGATGTCTGAAAACACTGACAGTTATGCATCATAATTTTCAAGTGTTTGGGTTCCACTACAATTATTAAACCATTGGGATGCTCAAGTGGTAAACTTGGTGTCTTTGTTTTAAAAGCATTTAATGTGTTTTGCACACCTACATATAAGTTGAAGATTTCAAATGAAGTTTTACTGAAAAGTAATAGGCTAAAATGTACAGGAACAATAAAATCCCAAAGCAAAAAAAAAAAACATTGCTAGTGTGATGTTACTACACTGGGCATTTTCTTGGGTATAGCATTTCTCTAGCAGGATCTAATTTTTAGAGAGCTCACAGAAATCCAGTTAGCAGAAGAATTTTAAAGAAAAAAAAAACAAACAACCTCTTGCTGCAAGACTTTTCCAGGCAACAATCTCTAACTGTAACCTATATGTCACTATATATACCATCATTTGGTTTCCCTCCTTATACCTTGCTTTGTTCTTTTCCTATGCATCCATACTAGTTCATCATGTGAACTCTGGTGTCTCAAAGCATTTTTAAACCAGTTGAACAAAGGGAATAAATTCAGGAAGAATGAAGGAGGGAAAAAGAAACCTCTGACCTGATATTACCAAAAAAAAAAAAATTAAACAAACAAAAAAAAAGACACTAAGATGAAAACAAAATAGTGCCATGGATTTACATATGGGGTTTTGATGGAAACTAGGGCTGGGTTTTAGATCAAAACTCACCATCTCAAAACCACTTCTTTTCATCCGCCTGCAGGACTTGAGGTAAGTACGTATGCGTTTTCTGGCACGCTCTTGATACTCAGGGAATTGTCTCCTGCATGAGTCAATGATAGCCTGGATCTTTTCTTTGGGCTGCTTAGAGATTGGGACCATTCGGTCCAAGTTTTCATCTACAAACAGCCTGACAAACATCTGTTGGCAAGAGGGAGACAGAGGAGATGGGTTTGGAGGGAGGCTCTCTTCTCTTCCTAGCTTCCTGTCTTGATTACTGATAGGAAGACATTTTTGCTATCCACTGAAGAGCTTTGTAATGGAAGCCAGAAATATTAAGCAAACAGTTCTTTAAAGGGTTATTTTGGGGGACTGATTTAAAAAAAATAAAAAGACAAGAAAAGAATAGTCTATAGGATACAGAACTTGTGAGATAAACCAGAACAGACTGTGAAAATAGGCACCACTTAAGTTTCATTATTAACAATAAGCTGTGATTGCTAATCATTTTATTGAACTGACTCTCATTTTTTCTTTGTTTGAACAATTGCTTGTGTTTTCATGCATAATTACATACATTGGGAAGGCAATAGAGAACAGCTGACCACTGGAATGGTCTTCTGATAATCTAGCTATTCACCCTCTCCATTCAATGGGTGAACATGCACATCCACACATCCACGCACACGGGCACACACACACCCCTACAGAACAAAGCTCTGTTGTCCTCACTGGTAAAGGTGGCACTCTGCCCTAAAATTCTAAATAAAACACAGTAAATCTGTCATCTGTTGGCAAGAGTTTAATGTGCATCAAAATAAAAATTGAAATAAATCCTGCAAATTAAATTAACGTGCCTTAATATTGTCAAACTTACCCATAAATAACAATGTAAAAGGAATTGCAGAAGCACAGAAGACCATGAGTGCAAGAGGACTTACGTTAAAAGCTTTCAGTCGTTCAGCTTCTACCCCATCTGATTCATTAACCTTCTCAGGATCTTCCTGCTCATCATGGTCATCCTCATCCTCATCTCCTCGGTTCAGAGACAGATCTTCAGCACCTCGGCCTACACTCTCATTCTTGCCAGAGTCATAGCTTGAGTAGCTATGTGCAGGGGACTGAAAACACAAAAAGAATGTGTTAGTCAAAATTCGCCATGGAAATAGGGTTGACTCAGCAAAAATGCTTTATAAACATTTCAAGAATTCCATTATTTCCTTTTATTCTTTGTTTAACATAAAGCGCTCATAATCCTTCTAGGACTGAACAATTAACAATAATATTCATTTCAGTACTTTAAAAAATGTGACCAGTTGCAAATTCAGTGAGTCAATGAACAAATGAATTATGTTTGATAATTACAGTGAACAGGAGATCTTTGCCACATAGCCTTAAATACCACATACAGAAGTTTGTGACAAATACCACCTTCTTTCTATTAGCCAAGATGTAAATAAGGGGCAGTTGATTTGCACAAAACTCTAGAGAATTAAAAATTACACATTTTAAGGCAAAGAGGATTTAAGTAGGAAACACTGATGTTCATACAATCAATATGAAATATTATCAAGAGCTGCATTAAGTTATTCAAAACATGGAGGTGATGATGTTCTAGTTTCACTTGCAAAACACTGAAATGAGGTTTGTTAACATTTTAAATGCTTTTCTGACCATATAGTAAATCTTATAGTAAAACCATTTTCTCTTTGCACTTCAGCATACAGAATTTTCCTTTGAGCAGAAATTCAGCTTACTGGAAAAAAAAGGAAAAAAGAAAAAAAAAAAAAAAAAGATGACCATCTCATTAAAGTGTATCCACTTGTAGGACCAAAATGTTTTCAATTACCAGAAGTCAATACTGTGCATTTTCCTTTGCAATATGAAGACTTCAGTTACCTCTTTTCTCTGAATACTCCTCTAACTGCGGACCACAAAAAGACATCAATAATAAAAAGCCTTCTACAACTTAACACTCGAATATCAAAGCTTTCTCTCAGTCACACAAAAGTATCAGAGAGCATTTTCACCAGAGCCATCAGATTCACATTTAGGTAATTCAGAGTGCAATTTTACTTTGATAATATTTTAGTCCTGTAACATTTCTATGTTTTCCTCTCTTGCTTCAAAGCATACCACAGTCTGTTAACTTCAGAGAGTACTGAACCAAGTGCTATGCAATGAACTTCACATACATTTTTTTTTTTTAAGGAGTCTCCTGCCTAAATGTCACCAAAAGTCAGGAGCATCATGCCACAATCAAAAACACATTTCAAATACCAAAAATCACATGCCCTCATCCACATTCTGAGCTTCCTAAAATTTCCTTTATTTCAGGGTGTTCTCACCAATTACAGAGCATAGCTGGGCAGTGAGGTAGGAGGGAAAAGCCAAGAAAACTATTCAACTTTAAGGTATACATCTTGCTTTATATTCTTACTCCAGCTTCTTTTCTTTCCCAATTTTTATTTCCATCTTACTTGGTCCCCTGTACACCATCAGTTTTGGAGTCATTCCCAAACATTTCCTTACCTTGCCTCAACAGTACCCAAGCTCCAAGGCTTTCTGTTTTATCTACCCTCCACAGACTATATTCTCACAGTACAAATCCCCTGGAGTTCCACTTTTGATCCTTAATGCTCCTAACATCAGATCTTGCAGCCTCTCTCATCCCCTTTCTTGAGTCTCTTCACTCTCTGCACATAAACTCTCCATTCCATAGACACTTATAGCAGATATAGGGAGAATGAGAAAACATCAAAAGAAAATGGAAGAGCCAGCCTCTGGATACAATCATCTCCAACAGGTACCAAGCTCAGTTTATGACTGCACAGTTCCAAGACAAGAAATTAGCCAGGGTTCAGGGTGGCAGATGTGAGATGATGTGGGAAGACAGACCTGGGAGAGCAGCAAAAAATGCCATTCCTCTTCTTGACACACTGATATTTTGTTCTGGGAAGGTGAATATTATGCACATTGCTGCCCATTCAGACAATTGTTCCTTGCAGGAGGTGTTGAATCTATTGAATTATCAGGCTTCAGAACAATATGGTTCCATCCTGATAGGAGATGATGGCTACAACTTATACAAGTGTCCAGGATATATAAGCCACAGTATTTTAGCCATCCAATGGCTAGCAGAAGGCCAACAGCTGCAACCTGGTAGCCTGCTATGAAGGCTGTGATGAAAAATGATTTTCCTTGACCCTGAAGAGATTCCCAGAAGAATTTTTTTTAAAAAGAAAGTTACAAATAATTGTTACAATTATTGTGATTGCCTCTAAGTGCTATGCAGAAGATCTAATGTAGACTGCAAGACTTTTTCTTTTCTGCTTCTTTGTTTCACCTCCTACTACAGCTATACAGTATGTAGAGGTCTTCTAGACAATCAGAAATCCATTTCATGTGCCAGGCACCATATAGAGCAGTAGAAGCTACTGCCCTGAAGAACCCCACTGTCTGAAACCCTTGCTCTGCAAACACTTGATTTCATACGAGTCATTTCATCAGACTAAATCCAATTAGACTACTCATGTGCATAAAGTTAAACAGATGCAAAACTGATTTTGGTGTGTACATATGTTTGGGCTGGATGCCAAGATCATAAATTACACACCAGGACTGAGATTTGCTTTTGCAAAGGAAAGCAATTCAGGCCAAAATGGATTAGTTATGTCTCTCAAAATGCAACAGTAAATTTTTTTGAAAGAAAGCATTGCACAGAGAGCCTTGTCCAATGTCTTCCCCCCAAAAAAATACTTATTTCAAGAACAGCTTTAGCATCTTAAATGAACTGTGGAGAATAACCTAGTCTAAGAAAGTTGCATGGCAGGAATTAATATTTAGTCATCGTGGATTTGAAGACACTGCACAACACCAGGGGGAAAAAAATAAGGTGTTCTTTTCCTATCTGTTGCATTGGCACACTGAGGGAAGGGGTTACAAAAGCTCAGTTATGAATAAAATTTCTACATTTTTATATTTCTACACAGATGAATACTGAACCAGTGAAGGAACAGACTGTTTGTCTCACTTGTGTTGACTGTGCAGTTCTGGAAAAGCTGACAGGCATTTTATTTTGGTACTCTATTAAGTAGCTGCAGTCCTAAACAAACATGGAATAGCACAGCAGAGGACAACTTCTCCTTAGTACATGTTCCACACATTTAGGTCTTGCTCTGTCCCTTCAAAAGGCTGGTTCTACCTGTGCCAGGTAGTCACCTGCTCATCCAGCTTTCTGTACACCCCCTGGCACACACATTTTTATGGTCCTGCAGTGAACTAGGCTGGAGACGTGATCCTGGTTAAAATATTTTGGGTTTCTTTGGTTTTCATTCTTTTGCCAGTCTTTTTAAGACCAGGATCAGGTCTTGGCTCCAGTGAAAGCACAAGCCTTTGTGCTAACAGGAGAGTGTGAGCATGGAAAGGATAGAGACAGCATAAATAACTCTTCTGACAGCAATGCAAGATTAAAGCCATCATAGAGTAGATGCATTAGTAGACACAAGATGTTTCATAGGTGAAACCTCTGTGCTTAACAAATGTTGGCTGGAAAAGAAAGTGACAGCAATGTAAAATGAGAAATTATTCAAGGAGAACAAATGAGGCCAAGGCTAAGGCCAAGAGAATTGTCTCCCCCAAAACATCTAGATAATTATAAAGTTGTGTTAAAAATCACTGAAATGTTGATAGATATATTCTGGCCACTTTGTCCTTGCCCTTTTCTGAAGGCTCTGAGTTCATCAATTTAATCTCTTCCTTGCAATAATAAGTACTACACACTTCTGCTTTATAAAATTAAAGGTTCATGCCTAACAACCTGCTGCCAGGAGTTTGTTGTTCTCTATACTGCAAATAAAGTGATCTCTCATAGATGCAAGAGACAACAATGCAGAAACCTCACAGTTGCCAACAGAATTCATGATGTTATTTTGTGACAAATAAAACAGAAGTAAATCAGGACACTAATAAAGTCTACCAGAGTGCCCCAAAGCCTGATAGGCTCAGACACTGTTGTATGGCCATCAGAGGTGGCTTGGAGGATGATACCACATGAACTCATTTTTATTCCACATATACATTTTTCACTGATTTTATGTATGGCAAGTTTTTTTGAAATCAGTTTTTGGTGAATTGACTGTAAGACACATGCATTTTATTTGACATATAAACAAAATTAAAAGTTTAAACCTGTAAGGTTAAGAGAAAATTTATGCCCTATATCTTCCCCTTAAAATTTTATTTGAAATGAATATGGGATTCTTAGAGTTCCACTTTCATTCCTACACAAAGTGTGAGTTTTCCATATTGCATGGTACTTGCCTAGAGGATGTAGTGGGGGTTTTTATTACATTAATTTTATAACACACATAAATAACACTAGAAACATTAAATACTTTTGGCACAGACGTATCCTTTTAGTATTAAAAGAGTATTAAACTATCAATTCAAATTTCCCTATCTTTCTCCTCAATTCAAACAGTAAAGCAAGAGGCATAAATGGAAACTTAAGGTTCAGAAATTATTCTAAGCAATCCTCTTTAATTTTTTTTACAGATAGAAGTCCAGCTCTCTGTTATTTTTCATTAATAAGCCAGTTTTCCCACAATCCCTCTTAAATCCTATGCCTTTCTCTCTTCCAGGCTTCACTGTTATTATCATTTTTACATAACCCTCTAAACCTTCCTACTGTCATATGTGTGGAACTTTACTGCCCATCATTTTTTCCTTATTACAGAAAGGACTGTGAAGTCACAAATACAATTTCAGCACCTCACCATTTATTTCAAGATCCAATTAACCTCATTTTTATAGGCTTGTCACACATTTGCTCATCTTACCCATATCTTTGCATCTGACTGTCCAGTTTGCTCCCCTAGTTACACCACAATTGGCCTTTCCAGCTCCTTCATAAAATTTCACCCTTGATGATGGGAAGCCATCATTGTGTATAATTCTGTTATTTGGGGCATGAGGATAACAGCATTTTTACTGGGAGAATGGAGAGCTGAAATCTAGGGTTTCACAGGTTTGACTCCATAAAAACTGTTATCTAACATGTAAAGTGAGGTGGAGTAGATTGTATAAGACATTTTTATACAAAACTTATATTACACTGAAATGTTAAAAGATCTTTTCTGTTTCCTCTGTGTTAAAAATGTGAGCTCCAGGAAGACAACTGTTCAATTATTTGCAATAGGAACTAAGAAATAAAAAGATTTTTCTCCTGAATTATCTTTGACAAGGTCTTTTCAGCAGGGTCATTGTTTTTACAGCAGTCACCGAGAGAACAGTGATTGCTCCTAATAGTATCTACTCCTTCTCAGTAATTAGGCAGTCTATATCATATTATCTATTTGCTTATAATATTCCTTGCAACAGAAGCACTTTTATCAGCAATAAGTACAGTAAACTGCAAATTACCCAGACACTTTCATTCTAGCAGGATTTATCTGGATAGATGAAATTTGGATGATTGAAAGATAAGAAATAATTGAAAGGCCTCCTGAAACACAGATCTTCCTGGGGTATATTTTCTCCTTTTAGCTAAAATACAGTCCACCCTAGATCTATCCCCACTGGTAATGACCAATATTATTGAAATACATCACTTTGCCCTAATAGAAATAACCTCAGAAATTAAGTAAAGAATAGATACAAAGAGGTAACTGAGAATTCTCACTCAAGTAGAAGAATGAAATCTATTTAGAGGTGATAGTTTAAGGAGCTTCTTTCTAATTTGTCCACAACCAATCTCATACTACCTGATTCAGCACCTTCAGGAAGTCTCCTGCTCCTTTCCTGGCCATTTTTGAAGGGGAGAAGTCTTGGAGGATAAGAATAAGGGTGTCCAAACCTCCCCATCCCACCAGTGTCAAGGGTACCAGGGCAGAGCCAATTCACCAGAGCAGGAGACTTGCCTACATTTTTATTTTCACAGCTTTTTTATTTTACAAAGTTATTTTATTAATGACTTCTAGAACCCCTGTGACTGATGTAGGAAAACAGATGTTTTCAACCAAATACTAAAAAAACCCCCTAGTTATATAACTCCCAATAACTGGCCATATTACAAAATGTGGCTGCTGTGATTTTGGGAAAAAAAAAAAAAA